CCGCAAAACTCCGAACCTGGTTCACCAGCAATTGTTTGTGCCCCTTTAATCTCAAGGATAGAGTGCCTGTCCACGCCCAGAATATGTTAGTTTACTCATTCTCTTGCTGTTGTGCAGCGGAATACATCGGACGCACGACTAAGCAACTCAGCCAAAGCATGAAGGAACACAATCCACCCTGGCTAGCTTCTGGAACCAGGAGGACGATAACCAGCTCCGTAGTACAACATTTAGCTGACACTGCACACAACGTGATACCCAGCCAAAGTTTCCGCGTTGTTTACAAGGCGCCGGCTAACCAACCCAGATCAGTACAGCGTGGCACAATTGCAGTGGCTGAAGCTATCGCCATACGACATCGCGACCCGATCCTTTGTCGGCAAAAACGCTTTGTTCGTGTGTGTACTTACCTGGCGCTTGAGAGAACGTACGCAGCCATAAACTTCCGAGGTCGTAGGCGGTTCCACGTTCACCGTCCAGGGTTCTACGTCGTCTGTGGACTCCAGAGGAGTGGCCATGACAACTGCCGTTCGAAGTATTCGGCCCACTGATCGAGGCGTTCTTTATTCGAGATGGTCACTCCATTCCGATCCTTGATGGTTTCGCTCAAAGGTGCTTTCCGGGGACCTGTCGCACGGAACAACTGAAATAATCTTCTGGCATTACCGGCTTTCTAAGCCCCCTCCATTCCCTTGGATTTCTGTGTCCACTACACTTCACGGTTGGCTCGCACGCTCACTTTCACTTGACGTCTGATAATTCGTCGCATCAAGTGATGTTCTGGGTCGGCTTGGATATTTCTCCGAGGTTTAAGGAGTGCAGCTGTTCGGTCCAGGGCTTGAGTGCGCCTGGGTGGGTCGTGCCACAGGCAAATTCCCAGCTTTATGTAAAGAGGTGGCGATCTTGTCCTAGTATGCGTTCACATCTGATGGTGGAGCATTTGGAAGAAACTCTAGGAGACGATCCTGGGAAATTCGTCTAACAGTCTCAGTTGCTAAGCGATTTGTCCGCACCTTACTTGACTCAGGGAAACGTAGGGAGAAGCGACTCCGGATGACTGCGTGGTCAGAATCCACAAATGTTTCAAAACAACCGGCGATAAGCTATTGATCCTCGCCATCGATTTGCGTTTGTGGCCGACATGCCGTTGGAGGATACCATGTGGCCAGACGACTTCGGTTATTTTTGGGGTTAGTAATGAATAAAAACAGCCTGCGATCAGTACATAGCTGAAGCAGTCGTTCCCCATTCTCCGTACGCACTGAATTCAATCCATATCGACGTAATTGAGTTTAAGATACGGTAATCCTGCCAACTTTTGCATTCAAATTTCTGGCAACCACCTCCACGATATGTGAGCTTTTAGCTCGCAGCAGCAGGGCATTCAGGACGTCATAGAACCTGTCTTTGACGGCGTCGGAGCTACAGTCAGTTGGGGCGTAAGTAGACACGATAAACAGACATGAATCAACTTCCCGCTTGTGAGACTCCTCTACAGACGTTTCCAGACGAACCGCACAAAGTTGACTATCAACGGGTATCCAGTCAAGCAAGGATACTTCGATCGGTGACTCAGGACGTTACTAACACCTGCACATCCTGCTGCAGTAGCATCTTGATCACCAGATGTGCATAATCGGAAACTAGTGGAGATTGATGGGGCGGTTAGCTCAATCACTGTGCTTGCATCTTGAATTCTTGTTTCTGAGACAGCACACATCGATTCCAAGCGAGTTGAGTGTGAGAAAGAAAGCAGCTTGTTGTCCCGCATGCTTCGAGTGCGCACGTTGAAGGTAGCCAGATAGACTAGGTGTCGGGGCTTGAAGATTGATTTCGAGATGCCTGAGGATTTCGGTGCCATGTGATGAGCAGATGCTGCACGCAAAACCGATGCAAGACGAACGGAGTCATCAGTCTTAAGTACTGGGCCTACAGGAGAAGATTTATTAGAGGAAGGGAGAGAGGGGAAGAAAAAGTATGTGGAAGAGAAAGAAGGGAGGCGTCAGCAGTAGCCTGTTTTCGCTTACCCGCCCTGCTGTATGCAGCAGGTAAGGCGACCCGGCTGATGGCTTCACGCAACGGCCGATGTGGCATGTGGCAAGGCAGGCATTTCTGCTACGGGTCCCGTGACTTGATCCATCTCTTGTGTTATCTGGTCCATTCAGTTCGATGTGAATCCATTGGAATACGGATCAAAGCAACTCAACCGTACGAAGCTAGAGGATCTTACTACTAAAATTCCGGGTCATTGCCGCAGTCGCTTGACGGTTGTCCAGCTGATAAGTGGCCTGAACATCAATTGAAAGTCAGTGTATGCTGAAAATCCGAGAAACGCTGTGTAATTTTCGGGTTTTGCGGGATAGGTATTTTGTCCATAGCCACACCACGGCCGTGTTCCTGTTCTGGCGTAATTATTCCGGTGGGTCCACACCAAAGGGAAGCACTGGACTCGAGCTTCGCTCTTATTAGAGCTCATCAGCAGTGCATATCCAATGACCGTGCCGGGATTTGAACCCTGGACATCTGACGTGCGAGGCGAGCGTGTAACGACTACTCCACCGACGCACGTTGGACGCATCTGAATTATCACGTCTGAACAGGCGAACGTGTTCACACTTGAGTGATGTGAACTCGTCCTTTGAAGCCTCTTATCAGCTCCTTCATATACAGCAAGGGAGGACGTTTGAACTATTTGGCATAATACTTCGAACAATTCAGTTGACCACTTGTTGCCTCCAAACCGGAATGCCGGTCTTCAACAGAAAGGTGAACCCTCCTCAGCTTCAGAAGTGTCGCAGTATACATCTCTAATCAGAGGCCATCTTGCTCCTGAATCTGACGAGCTTCCACTGCTCCGTTCAATGTTGGCTTTCTTAGCCAGTACCTATCTAGCTTATCTGGGTCTTTCTGGGAGAGAGGCCGTTCCGGATAACTCGGGTGAGTCGATAAATGTACTTTTTTCAAGAGGGGTGCTCACAGTGAATGTGGTAACAGAGGTGTTAGTTTGACCTACCGTTGTAACAAGGCTTCTGGTATCACTGATCCTTCGGTGTCTTACGGCGGCGCGGGGATTCTTGAGCCATGAGCATCAAGTGGTATTTCGACCGGGTAGAGGATTCGTCGACCACCACTCCGTTATGCGTTAGAGCAACGCCATATGCACAGACGACCCACAATCTTGGTATTCCTTGACTTCAAGGATACTTTCTGTCCGCAGGTACCTACTTCACCTCACTAAATTAACGGTGATCGAAACTGTGTCAGTTACAAAATTACGCGGTTCTTACAGCTGATAATGATGATGGTCGGGGGTGCGTTCGATTTTCGGTCGGTCAGTGCTGTTGGACATATTTCTTCAGCAGGGAATAACCCAGAAGTTTGTGGATGATCCGCTCCCGGTATTTGCCTACTTCTGAGCGTGCGAGTGTGTATGGTGAGCTCTCCAAAAGCTTTCCTACAGAAAGTGGTGTCCGACAAAGATGTATATCCCCTCCATTCTGGTTCAACTTCGTCATTGATGAGATAATAATCCGGACATTGGAAGACCTTCAAAACCCTGGCGTTAAAATCGTTGCTGGTGCGAACCTTCTCAAACTGAAGTACGCAGGCAACGTTGTCTTCATCTTTTAAGACGAATAATAAACTGACCACCATCAAACCATCTTTCGGCATGCGCCTTCAAAGTGCGAAATCATGCTTCAGAATGCATAGTCTCTGGACATACCTTGTACAATTCCAGGAGAATCATTGTAGGTTGTGGAGAATTTCACACACTTCGGCAGTTGTTTTAGCTTTGTCGAAAGTGTGTCTGATGGCATCAGTGCACGAATTTCGAAGGCTCGAGTCACGTTCACGAGTTTGCGTCATTTGTAGCATCAAAAATGCATACTACTGGGTCTCAAGGGTCACGTGTACCAGGTTACAGTAAGGGCTGATTGCGAAACATGGCCTCTGAGGACCGATTATGTGATGCGTCTTCAAGTTTTTATTTATCTCCGATGTATCATAAGCGTTGCTGTCTACCGAGACAAGTGTTTTTCTCCATACCTCCTTTAGAATGGCGGAAACCGTGAGGTGGACAGCAGAAGGGTGCGAAAGAGATTACGAAGAGTTTGGGTGTTGTTGGTGCAGTACTCTTTCGAGGATGGGGCCCCTGTGACCCCATCTGATCTGATTAAGCGCTCGGAGGAATCGTATTTTGTTACCGGCCTGCGGTTTGTTCTGTCTCTGGAAAGGACGTTCATACATTGTCAGAAAAGCCTCGCTTGAAGGAGTTTGGTTCGTCTCCAAATATATGCGTTTTTAGTTTTGTTCCAGGGTTCTGCCACACATGTCATCCTAATTTAGTTTTAAGGTCGATTGATACGTCAATATTCACAGTCTCATTTGGACACAACTTGCTGATCATTCTTAAAGATAATCGTACAGCTTCAACACACTTCGACGCCTAGCTGCCATACCACCCGAAGGACGCACGGGGGCTGGGATACCACCAGGTTGCCCAAGCCCAGACAAGAGCAGTTGAGACGCAGAGATCGGGTTCGAGCCACGGACCTTCCGGTCAGTGAACTCGCGCTCTAACCACTGAGCCATCTTGTCCCCCCACTGATCACTCTGTAGCCGTGTGGTAGTCACCTCATGTCCTAACAATGGTCAACAGCTTCGAAGGGCCTAAGTTAACGAACATCACTTTGAGGTATAGCGCTTCAGACAATGTGTTGGGTGACTGTGATTGTATACTGATTCGGTCCTATAATGTGAGCGCTTCACAGATATGATATTCCCGTTTGCCTTTAGGCCTTCATCTACTTGCTGGGTCAACTAACTCGACCATGCGCCCGATTTGTGCCCGTGAAAATGTACACCGGACTTCATGCTTTTACTGAGCGACTTCACTCAGTATTTTGGTGGATCCCTGCGCTGTACAGACGAGTGTCATTCGGAAAGAAGCGAAACTAACGAAACCCACCCTGTTCACTATGATGTCCCCTCATTCACTTCGTTCTTCAACGAAGTTTTACTATCCGACCTTTAACTTATCCCCTTCTTGGGTCCGTCGATTCATCCGTTCGCCAAATATGTTTTTTCCACACTTGCTCTTTTAGTATTATTGACATCTATTTTATTTATTTATATTTGACGAATAAGAAACCTGAATATACTGCTTCATTCAATAGACACTGATTTTCCGATCAACACTGTGGAAGAGGTGAATAATGGGCGACAGTTACAGATGTCAGATGTGGGGAGGACAAATCTATCTAACGTAGGCAGCCGAATGTGTCGGGAACATGGAATACGATTGGCTGCAACGGACTTCATCACTGAATCGTTGGACCTTTAGTCCGTGAGTCGGATTGGGTTGTAATCGTACGAGACGTGGTACCTGACTTTAGATTTCAACTTACCAGCGGTCAGTTTTCTGGATTCGATTCATGAATCGCACTGAAAGTAGATAATTTCAGCTTCGTCGTAGTCATTTTTTTTTTTTGGGGGGAGGGCCAGGCGTTTGAAGAATCGAGTTTTTGCATTATTAATTAGGAGACGACTTCACCTGGTGCATGAAGCATGCGACATAGTGGTTGCTCCTTTTTGATAACTGTTATCTCATCGACCACTAGCGGTTTCAATACACTTTCCTCCCGCAGTGGCATTTTCGTTGGTCTTGCGATTAATTGCTCTCAATGAAGCCAGATCTAGCAAGCGCAGTCGTGTAGATGAAAAATGTTAGTCGAGAGTGCAGGAATAGTGGATTAGGTTTTCTAAAACTGACTTTTAGTTTGGTACCATTTTAATTGCTAACTATAACTGTACTTACCAGTTGGAACTATTTGTTCTGAATGTGAAAGTCGATAGAAAAAGTGTGCTAAAGAGCTTGGGTTATATAAAAAGTAATGAATAACGCAAGTCAAGTTAGCGTTAGTGCTTGAGTAGAAAGAGCAACAGAATATCCACTGAGGGTGACCTCCAACCACATTGATAAAAAACACCCCCTAGACCCCGACCCAGGAGCCGTAATGCCCTCGTCATCCGTGGTTACGTTCTACTTCTAGTACGTTCATTGTTGACGGCATGTCTGGGCGGCTGGTTAAGCTGCATTTTTCGGACACATTCTAGCCAACACATTCGTCCGTCTTTTTCGCTGTTGTGAAATAATCGACCATGTCAGGTGAATCATTCCCAACATCCGAAGCGGCTGGAGAGACTTGCCGGTATTGCACCAGCACTGTAAACATTGGAGGTGAGGATAATCCATGCCGACGGCCTACTTAGAAAGCCGCGCAGTTCCACGGCATATTGCTATGGTCGGCTTCCTGTGCGTGTGAAGTTGCCCGAGGATTTGTGAACTTGGAGGATTTAAGCGATACGGGCCAGTCCCTTGTGCAAATCAGCTTGCTTTTCGAAACAGGTTTCGTGGAGAATAATTTCTGTCAGAATATGGGAAGCAACCGACAGTAGACCAATCTCGCGATGGCTCTCTTAACTGATCGGTAAAAATCTCATGAACTAAAGATCCCGAGGAACTGGATAAGAGACACTAAATAGTCCGGTGAGGCCAGATATCGCCATAATACATTAATGGTTTTGTTGTTTGACTGATCCGAAAACTGGGAGCCGAGTGATTTGGGGTTGCTAGCGCACTGACATTTATTTTGACTAGAGGTTTTGAAGATAGGCAACTAGAGAAACGTTAGACACCCCCACGGTCAGTCCAACAATGCACTCTTGAACTCGTGTTATCGACTAATCGCATCGACTTGTTCCAAAGACAGTATTAGATTAACTAAAATATAATATCTGCTGTTGCTTGTGTTTACAGGTCAGAAGTAACGTTTTAGATTCCACTCCTGAAGTTGGACTAAGCGATGTCTTGGGTCGAGAAAGATCCAATGTATTAAGAGGAATCACCACCAGTCTCAACCTGACCGGTCACAATTTACGTAAATTCTCCGCTCTGTGGAACGTTCCGGCTCTTCTAATGCGTGTCCATCATTTAGGCATGAGTTACGCGCACAACGACGTCGAAAGCATGACCAGTCAACCGAAAGCTGTTAGAGGATCACTTAGTGAATTTAGTTATGAGATCTGACTAGGTGGTTATGACGGGTGCTCAGCAGCTAGAGGTCTGCATAATTTAAGGCAGATATATGACGTGGCAAAATAGACTGGGACTGCTTCATCTATATAGGACATTCTTTAATTCATTAGTTCGGTGTGTTCCACAGGAGTCTTGCAAAGCATCCACGAAACCGACGCACAAGTGTCCTGGAATTCCCATAATTGTGGCAGACGTCCACAAGTCCTGAATAAAACAGCGCCACTATAAAGATACGCCAGGAACCACGTGGACATTTATAAATATACCAAAAATCCTCGGTGTTCGAAGGCAACACAATTGGAGGCCTCTCGGCGGCCTGTGCTTCAGAGGTTAGCAACCAAGACCAACCAGACCGACAACCGTACGTCTGCCTGATGAACTCCGGATATGGAGAAAAAGCCTCCTCAAGACCGGCCTTTAAAGGATCCGACCACACCTACATAAACAGTCCCCATAATACTTCGCGAGACTTTTGAAGAAATTCAGTGACAGTGATGAGTAAAGGAGACATAGTGTCTCCGAGACTGCCGTGTAGCGTGTTCAGGTGGTCGACAACAGACAGGATGAATCTTTATTAAATATAGAGTGAAGCTCTCTTCATTCCATCTAAAAGCTCACAAAAATCGTTTCCAATTTCCAACTACGTCTATCGCACCAGAGGAATGAGTTTTCTGCAAAATATTTTGTAGCTTGGGTTATTTGGTATTTTAGCAGGTTAGGACGTTGCTTTGAACTGACAAATCGCCCATCAGAATTTTCTGGGATGAGCGACTTGTGAAAGGAAGAATGTTACGCTATTGCCCATCGCATTGTGAACCCAGTACAATATCGAGTAATAACGATTTTCATGACGAAGTTCGGAACAGTTCCCAAACAAATTGCCTGGGTTTCTGCAGTTTGGGGGACAATCGTTGCATCCGTTTGTCTCGCGGCTCACCTCGTTCAGGGTTCCCAATTTTAGTTTTTCTACACTCTTTGATGGGGGCGGAGTCAGCTGCCTTAAGCGGCAGGAGAGGTGAAAAGAACCGCCACGTAGCGAAAGTATACCCTCTAGAGTTGGGAAGTAGCCTTTCCAGAGACGGCACCTGATCGAACCGCGAAGACTATTTTACCGATCGGCCTAGGTGGAGTGTTCCGCACAACCTCATGGCTTAAACTATCCAACGGTGAAACCCGAGAACTCGGGCAATATCAGTGGAAATCATTTCGTTCACAAATCGGATTATTAACGCATCTCCCAGCTACATAAGAACTCACTGACAATATAACTCTCACTGGTGAAAAGTTTGCAAATGGATTGCCCAGCTCAGCGAATGAACCGGCTGTGCTCTCAATGTTGGCAAATATTGTTTTAGGTCAGAAACACCGCGACTCGTTCCTTACTTGCTGATTAGAAACAAGCTAACGCGTATCCATTATTCGGAGAGCGCAACTAGCTAGCCATCGGTTCTCCGAATCTAATACGCTGTTGATCCCAACATCCGCAACTCAGTGCACTTCAGCCAAGTCAACTAAGACAAGTCGTTAACGACTAACAAACGCAGGTATCAAGAAAACTCCCTCGAAAAATAGCTCCCGTTAGAAACAAAACGAATAAATTTTGCGAGCTGTTTTCCAAAAGCAGTGATGTACGAAATTTCGTACAACCCCATCAGGTGTTCATATTCAATAGAAAACCGAGACTAGTCAACTGATCACGGCTCTGCAGTGTATGAAACATCTCTCTAACATTACTTAATCGTCCAGATACGACCCTCGCATCAATAGGCAAAGTGAAACCTGTGTGACCGGGTATTCCCTAGTAAGTTTATTCGGTCAAATAAGACAAGTTATATTATCGACAAGCACCTCATTCAATGGAACGCACATGGCTTAAACCCAGTGGTCAAGCGCACACTAACTAACCGGAAGGTTTGTAGTTTGAAACAAACTCCGGTGTTAAGACTACTTCTGTCTAGGTTTAAGCAACTTGGTAGTATCTCAATCCTCTTGTTTCCTTCGGGTGGCATGGCAGCTGGGCGCCGAAATGGCCTTAGAGCTGAACGATTCAAGCAAAACCAGTCCAGTAATAGACTGGAATGGCAGTCAAACGGACGGGATAAATTGCGTGGGATCTCAAGACCAGAGCATATATTTACGGTAGAAAAACATATTGGGGGTACCGCGCTAAACAAATCAAAAAATGTACAGTGAAACCATCGAAAGACGAGGAAAAAACAACTAGAAGAGTTTGCCAAATCCGTTAAGCACATAAACAACCTGAAGATGTTTAACGTTTGCCATGACGCCGAGTTAGTCCTTGGGCTGCACGCTCTGCAAAAGAAATTGATAGGCCAGTTACAAACCTGGCAACGAAATTGTCAACACGAGCAAAGAAGCCCAAAAGCAAAGGTGAATCGGAAATGATCCGGTGGTCTGGGAATAGCTGCTTTCAGTGAGTCCCTACCAGTTACGCTGACGAACCATGCGAACAAAAAACATCCACATGAAGAGCTTGTCGGTGACCATACATCCATTGAGACGAAAGGTACAACCAATTTAAGGGAAATTGAAGGTTATCAGCAGGTAGTTCAGTTCTGTATAGTTGGTAAGCGCAAAGTGGAGATCCAAACAGACACCTCTGCATTCACTACTAGGTGAGCACCAACGAGGCCTCGTAACAAAGTTCAACGATGCTGGTGTAATCGCTCACATCTGCACAGTTATGGGGAGAAACGTGATCGCGGTTATGGTCTATAGAACATTCCTCAATTGGAATCTGTTGCTGTTAGTACCGTATGTAGTGAAGAACGAGCGAAAATTCACGCTGTCTTTCTCATATTGGAACACTACTTTTGAAGATAATGCAAGCCCGAGGACTAGGGCCACCTGAAGTATCTTAGAGAAATCAAAACCTGTAGTAAACTTTGAGGTGTGCATCAACATTGTAAGTAGTTTTGTATCGTGAATATCGTCTGAATGAAACATGGGATGGCTTTCGTGTAATGCATATTCATTCGTAGGGTATCATAAACGAGGGATTTAATTGTTTCTTGTTAACACCAATCTGAGTTGCAGCTTATCCGCTAAGTATCACAAACCATAAGGTGGGCTACCAGCTGTACAATGACGACTTTTAGTTCTGAATGTCATCGCGAAGCATGAAGGAAACATGATAAAATAACTACTGACAAATAAGTTGCCTTTTAGCGACAACTCAGTCTTGCTGAGAGGGGAAGAAAACACATCAAATAAAGTTTGTATAAGTTCATTTGGGTAGTTTATGGTTTGGGTCCAGCGAGCAATAGGCCAAATTCCAACGCTACAGGTCCAGGCAACAGGGAAATGATGTCACTGTTGATGTTATATGGGAAACGGAACCAAAAGTGACCCGCTCAAAGTTACCTGTTTTTGTAATCTTCTTGCCATCTAAGATAGCCATATATTCGTTTTCCATTGCCTTATCACCGTTTGTTTCGTCGACTTTCGCTACTTTATGGTGCGTGAGTCGTCGAGCGGCTTTAGAACTGCACCAGTGCCAAATGCCAACCAACAGCACAATTCCAACGGCCACGACAAGAACGCCAAGGAAAAGCAGTTCCGTGTCGATTCCTTCCTCCACCTCGTACAACTACCAGATAGATACCAAAGTAAGGGAAAAACAACAGACAGGCACAGATTTAAATTTCCTATTAATAATTGAAGGTGAGCGAAATAAAGCACTCATTTGTATGCTGAAACAATGTTGTTAGCGATTAAACAGACTTTCAGTGATCCTACTCTTGCACAGTGAATGTGGAAACAGATCAGTTGTGAATCGAACCAGTCAGTAAGGTGGAAATGACTCGACAGTAATGCTTACGGAAACCTAAAGGTGGATACACTTACCCTAAACGTACTACGGGACGGGACAAACAGTGGACTCAGGGTTAATTTCGATCAGACTGTCTACACGTTTGCGTACTTTACTCGCTTTTTACTACAATGACTACATTCATTGTCGAAAGCTCAAAAGAACACCGGATGAATCTAAACTGCGAGTATTTAGTAGAATTCTAGTGGTCGGACTCAGCAGATGTCCATAATCATCAACGAACCCCATACAATGAATCCGGGTGCCACGCTTGCGCTCACATTTGGAGTCAAATGCCAAGATTAACAGTTGGGGAGAAATAGCTGACGTCCTTGAGGTGTCATACAGAAGTTGATAGTATATTGGAATGAGTACCGTTGACACAAAATTGCAAGGCAAGACAGACAGGTGACAAAAGCTCGATATTGGTAACTAGAGATTGGGCAAACTCTAGACGGGAGCAAAAAGCCGGGGGACGATAAACGGGGAAGCAAAACAGCGTTATGATAAACACACTAATCATAAGCAGCCAGAAAAAAGAAAAAGTGATTATCGATCTGCACAAGGAATCAACGCAACCGGTAACTCGTCGAATATCGATCGAAAAACGCTAATCTTGACTACTCCAGGAAGACTGCCAATGCATTTTGGGAGTTACGAAATTGTGACTGAACTACCCTGACAAAAGCTGAAGCACCCTACCGAATAGTGCATAAACTTGACATTTTTTTTACACGATACACGAGTACTTTAGGCCCGACTGACCCGTGTTTAGTAGTAACAGTATAATCCGGTCGTAATGACTACTGGCGGGACCGGTAGAAAACGGTTACCAGGAAAGTTCGACTGTTTACAGAAGGCATTGATCCAAAGGCGTAGACCGATTCTCCGAAGCTCACTACAAAATTGACAAAAGCGGTCTGCACAGAGGGCATTTTTGTAACACGTGTTTCGGAGCACTTCAGCACTCGGAGTGTAGCGAAATCGAGTCAAATTCCATACACGATGTTCTTTCGGTACCTAGCTGTCGTGCCACTCAAAGGAAGCAAGAGAGATGGGATGCTGCCAGAGTACCCCAGCCTAGACAGGGGAAGTCGAAAGGCAGAGATCGGGTTCGAACCACTGAACCAGTTCTTTATTTAGGGTCTATAAGAATTGAGATGCTGACTGACACCAACAATACCCCAATAATTGTAGGGCTAAACAAGACCGAAAGCAGTCTAAGACTTGTACCTTTCCATATTTTTTTGGGAGGTGGTGCTTCGCAAAAAGCCCTACATCGAAGCAACCCTAAGGAAAAGTGCGAAAACAAGGTGAAAAAACAGTACAGCTTGAGGTGTGCCAAACATTAGACCAAAAGCCTTACAAAGGAAGTAAATACGTGACAGCATTAGGTAAGAGCCCACGCGGAACTCACATTTACAGTTTGGTTGAACAGCGGATGGACGTAGTAGATCCCATTCTCATCATGATAATACACTCTAACACATAGGTCAAAGGAGCGCCCGGCAAGTTCAGCAGCAGGTTTGAAGCTGTAGGACAGAGAACCCTACAGAAAGTAGATTTAAAAAACACTATCTACCTCTTGACCAGGTTCTAGGGTGTTCTGTAGTCGAACCCGCGTGAAGTTTTGTATATGGTAGCTGTAATAGCCCGGATAATGTAGGGAACCCTCTAGCAAATCCAAGGTGAACCGAGGCAGGGTGGTTCCTTCATGAGTGTTGATCAAAGCAGCAACCAGCGAAGAACGCTTGTTCGCGGGGAAACTGATATCACGTTGCTCCGTATACAACCCGTAAGGAGGGCTTGTCAGAGCCACGACAGCCTGAATATGAGGTGATCCTTTGGTAGGGTCTATTTCGGTGGACCCCGTTGAGGGTGGTGAAATTTCGCGTTCATCGTCTTCGTTGGATACACTAGCATCTTGAGTCAACACAGAAACTGAAACCAGAATGGTATGAGACAAGCGCGAATTGCAATCAGCACTACGAAACGAGAAGTTTCTCGGTCAGAACCAAATGGGCCGAGTGCAATATTTTTTCTACACTGGAAGTACCAACTGGGAGAACTGTTTATATTTCTAGACACCATATTTGGACGCCGAAATAAAAAAAAACGAACAAAAAGTTGAATGATACTGTCAGCAATTTTTCTATCACCACAGAGCTAGACAACGTCAATAAGGCTGCGCTAAACCAGGATCATGATCAGTTTAAGGAATAATACTGGGCGCTCACAGCATCCTTAAGTACGTCCGCACTATAAACCAAATGATATACACAGGCTGCCCACCAGTGGTACCAATGTGTGGTACAATTCCCCCAACGCGACAGTGCATTCAGCCTCGATGGTCTTCGACCCACAATTCTGATAGATGGTGAAATCCTGGTGAGCACTTGCGTATAGCTAAACAAACGGTAGTCTGAAACTGCGCTCAACAAGACAAAGTGAAGTTACGGAAGGCCGGATTCCCTGCAGTCATGCCAGTATCTAATGAACAGAGGGCGAAGAGTATAAAAAACGCATTTTGATTAAATAATATTACGACTAATCAAAGCGTTTGTGTTTCTATTCCTGATAGAATACTTAGTTGTAAATGAGTGTCTGCATCCTGTTTGTGGCCGATTTACCATACATCCGTCTAATGGGTGTAATGTTCGGTCATTGGGGTGAGATGGCCCAAGTGGTTAGAGCACGAATTTACTGACCGGAACGGTTCGAACCCGGCCTCTGCCACTCGACTTACCCTGTCTAGGCTTGGACAACCTGGCAGTATCCCAGCCCTCGTGCAACCTTCGGGTGGCATGGCAGCTAGGCGCCGAAAGGGTGTTACAGCTGAACGACTATCTATCGGTCATTCCGGAACATCCATAGTGTTCGGTCCATCCGGGGAAAGAAATTAATCAAGAATAACCCCATGTACCTAAGTTCACACAACGCTTTGTCCGGCCCCGATACCAAGGCCCCTGCTGGGTTTCATCAACACTGCGTACTTCAGGCGTTCACGTCGGGAGGTAGGTCCGTAATATGTTTAGTTTATGCTTCTCAGGGTATTACTGTTCCTAGATTTAACGACGCAAATTATTGGGTCTGCCAACTTATGGTTGGGACATTTCGGAAGTGATCATGGATACGTTGAGTAGAAAGAACATTCTCAGACTTTCAAACGGGACCTGGCGCTGTTGGACAGTCGCAATTCTGACCGGATGTGTTTCGACTGCTCCTTTTTAGGACTGAGAAACCTAGCAGTGTCTCAGTACTCGTGCTTCCATCGGCTGGCAGGGCACTTAGGCTTCTGAAGCTCACTATCACCATGAATCCTAGCCTATGTGCCTGGCCCGCTTATTAGTAGCTGGGATTTTAGCAGACTGACCACAATAAAATAGTCTGACGTGCGAACTGAAGAGAGTGTGGAAAATCTTCGGCGATATTAGACTAAAGTATCGCCTAAACGGGCACCTTAGTCTCGTAGCGTCAGCCGTTTTGCTTTTGGTGTCTTCAAAATATTTTGGGATCTTTCGTCACCAGTTGTCCGGGTCTGTCTGTTTTTCAACAAGCAACCACCGATGCGATATACGCCGACCGGTTTGATCAAGTCTAGCAGATAAAACGCAGCAACTGTCATAATTAATGGGCGGATTCCATTACTGAGTCCAATTTTAGAGGGAGTTAAGAGCTTCCTGGGGAACTTCTACGTCACCAATACCGATCATCACCCATGCCTGTGTTAAGCGTTTGTTCTGTTTGTCACAGCGCTTCATCACTCATTTTTAAATCACTTTTTATCGTTTTATCCCACAGTATTGAAGTTTTAGATAAATGGAGCCTAGCTTCTAGGCCATCGGCCTTTTTCATTCATTATCTGATTGTCGCCGCGCTCTATTCATCGTTAAACACAATTTATCCATCCAAGAAGTTTGATCAATGGATCGATTCATAAGTAGTGAACGATTCGATACCAACTCCAACACTCAAGACTCGGCAGATAACTGGGAGCATTGGCTTTGCACTTCCACGAGAGTCCACTGCTTTTCATTCACCAGATAAACTGAAAGTCTTATTCAATTACGTTGCTCCCAGTGTTTTCCGCTTCATCAAAGACTGTAATAATTATGAATCAGCTATTGCAAATTTATGTACAGCCGAAAAATGAAGTATTCTCAGGACATCTTTTTAATACGTTTAAGATAGACGGAGATCAAAATGTTGACCAATTTGTGCAAAAGCTTCGCAGTCTGTTGCCAGATTGCTGCTTTATAGCTGTCAGCGCTGAATAAGATTACGAGACGCATTTATTAGTGGACTTAATTCAAACATTCGTCAGAGGCTGTTGGAACATAAGTCGCCGGATTTTAAAACAACCAATGATCACGCAAAATCCGCCGAAGTAGCTCAAAACCACTCAAGTCATTTTTACCAAACAATCAGCTCCCTGTGCTACCGCGTCGGACGTCCCACTAAGGTCTCCACGTTCTAAAACATGATCGCACGAACAGATAACTGTTTCTAGTATGGGGCCTTCATGTTTTATGTGGTTATGCTTGTCAACCGCGTTATAAATGCCCCGCTAAAGACACGACCTGCAAAGACAGGGAAAAAAGGCATTTACAAAAGGTACGCAGATCGATCACTGGTCTGAGGAATACCTCATCTTGCATGAGTGCCGCAGACCTCGAGTGTCTTAGAGAAGCAGTGGCCAGTGTGAAAGCAAATGATGTTTCAATTCGAGCACTCGTCGATGGTGGAGGTTCAGGAAGCTCTACTTACCGAAAACGCCTATCGTAATCAGTGGTCTGTACCATTGTCGATATCCGAAATCAGCTTGGCATTCATCCATAACAAAAGCACCGCTTATGAACAGTTTGTTTAACACTGCAACATAAACATGTACTCCTCTTTAGGCTTCCATTAACACGTTATCCCTGTACATTCTGCTTGGACATGATTTCCTTAAAACACTCCCTCTATCTGGAAGCGTCGAATTAGCCTTCGAGAACCCGAAAATCGAACTAGGAGATGCTACGTCAATCGCAGATTACAACGAGCCTCTAGTTTTTGAAACGGATGCTTCTGATGTTGCCATAGCCGCATCCCTAAGCCAAAGCCATCGACCGGTGGCGTTTTTCTTCAGGATACTTAATTCAAGCTTATCGCTCGGCGAACGCTATCGATGGATCCACCAGGAAATGGCCACACTATCTACTCAGAAGGTCCTTTAAATTGATCAACGTTCAGTCACATTTATGTAGGGTGGACAGAATGGAAAACGACATATACAACACTGGAGGATTGTTACCCAAGTACGACTATGATGGCACCTACCGACCCCGCAAGGATAATGATTGCCGACAATCAGTTGTGCAACGTATGTGCTGTCATGGAGAGCAACAGCCAAAGGACAACAGCAGAGACTACTCTGTTTCCTGCGCAACAGAGGCTTGACATCAATCATAAAACGAACTCCTACAACCACCAATCTCAGCGGGAGTGAATGTTGCACGCATGTCCTGTTTCTCCAAGCGTCTTGTTGCTCATTGTTGAATCACTTTCTCGTTTTAGCTCGTAGTGTTAAAGTTTTGGGTGTACGGAAACAGCTCTTGACCACCGTTCCTGGGCAAAAAAGGGTCCGGACATTTGTCATGCTAATCCATCCTGTAACAAGAAACTCACTGTGACACAAAGAAAATTATGGCAATCTTTTGGAAAGGATCAAGTGGCTTTGTCCAGGTGGAATGTCCGAACATAACTAGGCTACTGGTCGTTTAAGTTTCTCTTCGTGTGCCAGATATTCCTGCAAACTGCATAGGTTGCGCTGGCTTGGCCATGTGCCGCGCATGCCAGTCGACTGACTTCCTCGAAGGGATCTTACCTTCAATGCAACAATTTATCAGCTCCCGCATTCAATGCGCAGCTACCTACTCCATTTCCCCAAATTATCGGCAGCTACACTACAAGTACGCGCTTCTTAAAGCTGACAATCATGAGATACTGACACCGTGTTGAAAGTATTCGTCGGCGGTAACAGTCTAGTTGCCATACCACTCGAAGGAAACAGAAAGGCTGAGATGCCTGGTTGATACACCAGGGATGGGTTTGAATAACGGACCTTCTAGTCAGCAAGTCCGCGCCCTAGCCAATGAGCCATCTGGAGTTTAGAGTTGGTAATGGACGCTGAGATGACCCAAGGGTACGGTGGCCTCACAATACCACTTCAGTTCAGTGTGAAGGGCTGCACGGGGTAGAGATAACTGCAGAGGACCAGCTGGACCAATGGTTAGATGGTTAGGAGGGTGGGGTGGGTCAGATGGTGAGTCGATAGAGCAGCTTGGAGACGAGGGTCGCAACAGGATCTAACCATTTTATTCAATGCAGGACAATGATTGGCGAGTTGCTCATCATATCACAGAAGTGTATGGTCTCATGTGGAACAACTGCAGCCGAACTTCCAGAAATGGGTCAATTCTACGTGAAGCCGTTGAGTTTTTAGTGCGAACGCGGAAATAGATGGCGCCGAGTTTGGCAAAAGTGGAGGGGAAACACTTGCTGCGATTCCAACATTGTATGCATTCCAGAAGGATAAGGCTGTAACCTGGCCTGATGATCCTATATAAGCCCACCGATTAATTATTCTTTTCCAGGATCGTTTCCTATAAAACGGACGGCTGGTATGCATTTGTCAGGCAGCGCGAACGAAAAGAATTTCCTGATTTAAAATAAGTAGTTCAGTAAATCAGCCAGGATTAACATGGTCTAAGCAAACCAAAGGTCTCAGTAAAATATTCTACTTGAGCTTCCCTGTCAACTAACAATTACTGAACTTACCCAGGAGGGGAAAGTAAACCAATAGATGGAACAGCCAACGCACCATCACTGCGCGGGCCACGTACTGCGAAAGGGTGGTATTGAGATTGATTCAAACAAACAAACCAAACTTTCCTATT